ATAGGGTTAAGGTGATGGTTAAGGTTAGGATTAGGGCTGGAATAGACGGCTTAGAGCTTCTGCTCTAAGTGTGTCTTACCGCTGTGAGCAGCTTTCTATTTGATTCAACTGAAAACCGAGAGCGTTTCATAAGGATGCGGAAGGGTACCTTTCGCGTTACTATGTGACGCCTAGGGTTGTGACAAATCGTCGGCATGTTACGCGTCGGGAATGATAATGCTGTGTAATTAGGTAACCAATAAACAATTCAGTGAGAGAAAAGTTCTTGTCTTGTGCTATAGAAATTTTTTCATAATTTACAGTGGGTCCACAGATAAACTTTCTTTTTTATAATTACAGGACAGTCTCAGCAATTAGTTACCAGATTTTTTCCTGTAATTTCACATATTTATTCACTACAATTTACCCCCAAAGACTTGGGCTGACAAATTTCTTTCATTTACTGCAGTAGCATTTATTTATTATGAAAAAATTGAGACATACTGTTGAAATTGTTCAATTTTTTTCTTAAATGAAGATATGTGAGGACTAAATGTCTAGTTAAAGAGTAAAGAGTTAAACTTCTTTACAATGACAGAAAGGGGAGTTTCACTCGTCCACCCCACTTGAACTCAAACTGGGGCTGTATGTGGCCCAAATTCTAAAACATGTTTGACATCCCTGCTCTAAATTGTCTAATAAATAAACAGGATAAATAACTTTTTTAAATCTGGTTTTCTGTGTCATTTATTACATTACTCATAAATGCCAATTCAGTTAGTGTATTTATTTATTACATGTTGGACACGGTTAACAAAACAGTGTTTTAGTCCATCATAATAATAATAAATGCCCAGTCTCTTTCTCAAAGTGAAGAATAAAGATAAAATCAATTCCCTGGTTTTAAGTGCTCCTGATTTAAGCATATTCTCTGTGCAGAGTTGTAACATGCAAACAAGCCGACATAGCTAATGGTAATTTTCATCAGTCGATTATGTCTCAGAGACAGGGTTACTCAGCTGTGTGTGGGGACCAGGCTATATGCAGCCATTCCTCCCAATCAGAGAAAGAAAACAAAAAACAACAGTAGGTGATTTCACTGATTAGTATCTCCACTTTAGATGAAGTTATGCTAATCACTGAAATTACTTGCAGGCATGCACTTTAGACCACGGAGCCAGCAGACAGCCTCTTAGATAATGTTGTTTAATATAATTATCACTTTGTTTGTGCTATTAGGATGTACAATAGCGCTGAGGGGGAAAAAAAACGTAATTAAAGAAGTAACGCTCGTGCATTTCCCCACTGTGCTATCGTCTGGGATTGAAGGCCTACATTTCACTGAGCACGCTCCAGTTCTCCCCGGAGAAGCCTTATGCTCTACGTCAGTACAGCTGATATTCACTCTGTGGAACAAACTGTAAAGGAATTGAAAGTTTAGAAAGCTAATTAGTCCACTCTTCAAAATTAACACAGTAATTCACTGTAAAAGTCAGGCAGCAAACCAATTAACGATTTATCATATACACTTTATGAAATAAATGAACCATGGGACAAAGCCCAACGAGACTGACTGTGGAACGAGTTGTTTTCTTATGAGACAAATATTCTCATCTGTTGTAGGGAAAAAAAAAAACTAAAATAGATTTGCGGTCACAGTTGTTACATCACATGAAGTCAGTAAACTGGAGACGAAAATCCAACTGCTGCGAGACACTTAGAAAAGCAAACTAGTCCATCACACACCCAACTAACCACCCAGACAAACAAAAACATGCAGTGTTGAAGAACCTGACAGCTGCAATGCTTCAGTGGCTATTTGTCTTCCTCACACTGTCCAGACTTGTCTACATTTAGATTCCCCCCACCATCGAAACACGAGAGCCTTTAATTCTTGAAAACACAAGCATTACCCCTTTTTGTCAGGTTGTCAGATATTACCTGTTAGTATTGATCCAGCACCATTAACGTTGCTCCAGGATCCAATCACCTGGGGTGTGTAAGTTCAAACTTGACAAGAGCAAATAATGAGATTAACCTGTTCATGTTCATTTTTTGGTGTTTTCTTTAATGAGGTCCTCTGAGCTCTTTTTCAGTCGAATGTCATCCAATCATCCATGCACACCCCCAATCATTATCACCTTTCAAACATGCTTTGCCACTTAAATAATGTGTCATAAAGTAGGACATTTCAAAACAGGTGAGTTTACAAATGTAATTCAACTCTTTCTGAACTTTTGGCTCATGCTCTTGCCTTTCGTTAATGACTCTTTAATGTTATGGGAGCTTGAGATGCCATAAACATCAAGGAAAAAGATCATAATGATACTCAATAATAATTTGTTTATTAGCAGTAAGAAAGTAAGGAGTAAACTTCACATTGCAAATGTTTCAGTTTGCGTGCTTGATTTAAATATTCTCTGCTTTATAATTTGCCCCTTGAGAAAGATGCTCCTAGAAATCCAACAGAGTCAGTCTGAAAAATCTCTTACATGTAACCTTGCGCTCTTTTTTTTAAATACAGATGATTCTTTTATAATAGTAATTTTCTTTAACGTCAAAACCCAGTTTGCACAAGTGCAATGCATACATAAATCTGGCCCATAGTTTAGTCCCATTTAGATTTTTGCAAAACAATATAGTTCGATTATAAGACACCTTTTTCACAATGTTAGTCACATGTTAGAAAGCCTTTGTGCCAGAAAAGGAAGTAACAATAAATACGAAGCTTTAATGACACCAACAGACCAATGCTGGATTATGTGCCAAGCATCGGTTATTCAGACAATCAACCTGATAACGACCAGTCATTTAGTTTAGGGTGTAATTCAAGCAAACTCTAACCCACACTTAGTCAATTACACCAAACAAGGCTGGCGGTCGCCTGGTGAACCTGTCAGACTGTTGAGTTTGTGCTCATGGAGCATGACAGTGTTTCAACACACCAATTACAGTGAGACAGTGGTACAGCTGTGCGGCGGCTTGGCACTCAGCCACACTATAAGCACCACTATCGATTGTCAGAGAGACACAGAGTAGGCATGAGAAGGGGACAGTCATGCACTGCAAGAGAGCGAGATGCAGAATGAAACCGAAAAGACGGAGAGTCACTCGCTTCCGAAACCTTTTCCCTGTTCTTTGTTGGCGTAATGATGCACGGCCGTGGCATTAAAGCTCTGACTTGTTTATTGCGTGCACTTCCTTATTTGAATGTATGTGTACAAACAGAGCTACAGTACAGAGGAAACTGATATGAGAAGTGGCAGGCCTCCCTCATTCTCGCTTTTTACTTCTCTCTGTATGTTCTCTCTTCTGATCCTCCTAATTATCACAGTTTGACAGTGCAGGAGAGGAAGAAATACTGAGGGCAGAGAGAAACAGAGAGGAAAACTATCACGTTTGCAAAAATGAAATAAAACAGAGAGACAGGCAGAAAACCGAGATAGAGGAACGGTTTCTAAAGCAGCTTATCCAGCCTATTCTATGTTAATGAGGGTATGAGTTATTAACTTAATGGAGACTCATTTTAGTCTAAAACAGGTACTAAAAAGGCCCAACCCGCTGCAGCAGACAAAGGAGCTGTCATGGCTGTGGTACACTTTAGAATACGTTCAACTTATAGCCGAATATAATTTGAATAATTGCAATTTTAAAAGCACCGTGTCACATATCCATACACAGACAAAAAAAGTACAAAGCCTAGGATGTAATTGCCGCATATGTTAATACTTACCTGGACATGTAAACTAATGCAGAGATAGACAAATTTTTTCTTTTTAGTCAAATAAAAGAACCATGTAATTATTTATGATCAAAAAGATTTATTTATGGTTGGAAACAAGAAAGGCTCGATGTACTTTAATCTAACAACACCCTTAAATATGATGGTTTAACTCATTTTACTTAATTTTCTAAGACAGCGGTCCCTAACCTTTTTTGCGCCACGGTCTGGTTTAATGACAGACAATATTTTCACGGACTGGCTTTTAAGGTGAGGCGGATAAACACAACAAAATAAAATGATATGACCAAGGCAAAAACTGTGGTATTTTGTAAATATAAAAATAAACGCGAATTCACTGTGTAATTGCGTAACATTATTATTACCAGCGTCCTCCTGAAATGCGCCAACAACATTGAGAGTAACGTTCTCCTCTCTGCTCGCTATGGTAATGCGTAAATATTTCTTTCAAAATAAGACACCCAACTACAACACGGGAAAAGACCCAGGGAAACCAAGTTAACGATAAAAACCCTGAAAACCATAAAGCCTCAACTCTCGCGGCCTGGTACCAAATGACTCACGAACCGGTACCGGTCCGTGGCCCGGGGGTGGGGACCTCTGTTCTAAGACATACACAAAAAGTTCTTTTGTGGGTTTTTTTGCTTGTGTTAGGAGTTTTTTTGATCACTAGCAGACCTAATCAGCTCTAGCTAGGTCATTCTACCGCTGAAATGACAGAAAAATATTCATAAACTCTTTCCTCTTGTTGCTTGGGTTTGAAAATGTGATAAAAAGACACAAACCCTATTAAAAATATTACATTTACTAGAACTCTATGGAAATAATAATAAGAATGTTGACAAATGCAAAAAGAATGGATGAATCTGCTAGGTAGGACAGGATTAACACACTTTTGAAGAGTTAATGGTGGACAGCTGCATTCATTTAAATCCATTTCCTTATCTCCAAATATTCTTTACCAGTACTGACCAGCTATCACTGGACAGAGCCTTACTGTTCTCGTGGTGCGAAGTTGCAGGTTAAGCATAGGTGAATGCAGCCACCTGTACGCAGGCCCACTCAATGCACAGGCATTAGGTTTTTCCTTTGGAGGCTGCCTGATGTTCCCCTCATAATTATGGCAAATTTAGTCGGCTCTAAACTGCTACAGTTGTATCTACAGTACCAGCAGGTCATGACTGCCTTTTAAAGCAATAAACCCCGAGTATGTCTACTACATGCAGGCACTTGAGTTTGAAATTACAGTGCATTGTACTTATTCATCTCAAGTACTTACAGCCAGGAGTATCTGCAGCGAGGAATGAGCCACCTCTATGAACTGAAAATCCATCAGACAGCCAGATATAGATATATATCGGTGGTCCTCGGGTGCCCAGGAGGGAGGAGGGGTGATGGGCGTCACCCTGCATCCTGGGCCATTCTCCATCCACCAGGAGCGGTGCATGGACAGGTTAAATGTCAGGACAAGGTCAGAGTCCTGGCAAACAGAGAGAGACAGACAGAAAGAGGTTGATTACATCCTCAGACAGAACATGAACAAGGAGCAAAGCAGAGGCCGTCTGAATATGTCGCACCCTGAGAGCTAGACAGAAAGGTAAGGAGAGAGGTTTGATCTAAGATTTAGATTTAAACTCACCAGCAACTTTATTAGGTATACCTGTTCAGCTGCTCATTGATGCATATGTCTATTTAGACACATGGCAGCACCTCAGTGCATTTAGGCATGTAGGCATGGTAAAGACGACCTGCTGAAGTTTAAACTGAGCGTCAGAGTAGGGTAGAAAGGTGATTTTAAGGGAATTTGAGCGTGGCATGGTTGCAAATGCCAGACGGGCAGACAGTCAGAGTATTTCAGAAGCTGCTGATCTGCTGGGATTTTCCCACACAGCCATCTTTTAGAGATGAGAAAAGGGCAAATTTGGCATAAACAACATGAAAGCGTGGAACCATCCTGCTTCGTAGTGGAAATATTTTCTTCCTGTGCACGAGCTGAGCATCATTTAAACTGGTTTCTTAAACATGACAATGAGTTCAGTGTAATCAAATGATCTCCACAGCCAGCAGATCTCAATCTAATAGAGCACCTTTGAGATGCGGTGGAGTGGGAGATTTGCATGATGGATATGCAGCCGGCAAATCTGCAGCAACTGTGTGATGCTATCAAGTAAACATGGATCAAAATCTCAGAGCCATGTTTCTAGCAACTTGTTGTGCCACGAAGAGTTAAGGTAGTCCAATCTGATGCTAGCAAGGCGTACCTAATAAAAAGTCATTCCAGTGATTCTGGGCCTGGATGTGAATTGTGCACATGCAGCTACTGTCATCATTATCACTATGACAATGATGACTTGGAAACTTAACCAGAATCAGAACCAACCTATCAGTAATTAGCATCTGTGATTTTTGCCTTGCTAATCATGGGACGAAGGAATAAATATTCACTAATACTCACTAAAACACATTAAAAGCCCCCCCCCCCCCCCCCCCCCCCCCCCGCCCCAAACCACACATGCACACACACATAAAAGTCATTTTTTTATGATCTGAAACTTAAGGTTAGGTTTATGGTAGGGTCACTAGAGCGTTAACTTTACTGTGGGGGTTTATAGCTGCACTGCCAACGTGGCTCCATAAATGTCAGCAACATCATTCACTATACCACTCTGACCCAGATTTAATTATCTTTTCACATACTGCCATGTATTTCCATAAAACTGCAGAAACTCATTTGAGTGGAAGAGCCCTAATGACTGGCGATTCCTTAACTTTTCTTCTAGCATCAGCAGCAGGTTTCTACATCTCCGGATGACTTTCGCTCGCAGACCTTTACTGCGCTGCCACTTTGATTTAAAACTTTCCAGCTCTAACTGCACCACTGTTGTGTCGTACTTTGTGTTTAGAGTTAAACGGCAACTTACTGTAATGCTAATTTGCAAGAAGAGAACACGGTAAGCGTGCTAGCAGCTGACGTCAGCATTTTACCTACATAACTGCACAACATCACAAAGCCACTAGCTACAGTCTGATAGCGTGTACTCATATGAGGCAGGATTGCCTTATATCGTACAGATTTGTTAATTACCTAAAACAGAGAAAGCAGCTGTCACACTTTATGTCCAAATAAGCATGAATAGTCCCCTCACTGATGGAACAAACTCTAAACTTTTACATTTTCTGTGGTAAGTCATTTCAGTTCAGCAACGCTGAAACGGGCCCAGTGTGGAGCATCTGTAGAGGCTCCTCGTCATTACATTTTCTAAAAGCCTCAAAGACGCACAATGAATCAGCTATGATCGTCGTCTCGGATTAAACAATGCACATATTAACGACTCCATTTAGCAAGAGGAGGCATAGATCATTAAACAGACAACCATGCGAACCACACGGGCGTCTGTCCATGTGTTACTTCGCCATTAGCCGAATGAGAGGCCCTAATGCTCTTTAAAAGCACCATAAATCTTTATACTAAGATATAGAAAGAAAAAAAACATCATAAAACCGATTTTCTTGTGTGTGCCACTCAGATTTAGAAAAAAAAATCTATTAGTTTTTGTTGCAAGAAAGTGTGCCTATTGTGGTTTGATGTTACCCAAGAAGAAGATGAAACAAAGTCTACATAGCATCCTCACAACAGTCCCATAAGTACACTGTCTGCATTTAAAGTCACTTCTATTGAAGCACATAAATCCTTAAAGAGAGCTTTAAATAGAAACCCTGTTCTTACATTACCTGTTTCTACTCCATATATCCCACCTTATCTTGTCCTTGCCTGTCCCTCTTAACCTCCCACCACATCCGCACTTGGCTCTGTCACCTCTTTCTGTACCGTTACTTAATTTTTTCCTGCTCTCTCTTTTTCTCTCTCCATTCATTTATATTGTGATCTCACCCCCCTTCCCCCCTTTTCTCCCCTTCTTATTCTTCTTCTTTCCGTGGCCTCTCTCTATTTCAGCATAATGAGTAAATGCCTCATTAGCGCAGAGCTCTGATTAATGCCATCTCCCCTTGTTGTGCTCCTCTTTTTAATGAGTAAAATCTCTCTAATTTTCTCTCTTGCTCCCTCTCTGCCATCACTCTCCCCGTGCCTGTCACTGCGTCGCCGCAGCTTTCTCTCTGTCTTCTTCTTTTTCACTATATTTCTTCATTCTTCGCACCTCCTCCCTCCCCCCCGTTTCCGTCAATGCTCCTCTCACTCTATACACCTGCTGAAATGCTGGGGAAACAGGTAATAATGATTCCAGCACAGCATCATCCATCAGTACTTTCATAACAGGCATTTTCAAATCACAAGTAATTCTCGTTAAAAGGCTGAATTTGGCAAAATGTTATGAAGACCCGAGAGAATGCGATGCCAACTCTTCTCATTCTGTGAAGGAAGCATTTATGGACATGACAAGAATAATGCGTTAAGATGCTTGGCTAAATTAGTTTGGCTAAATCGCTAACCACTTGGGGAATGAGCAAACAGAAGGAGCTGTGGTGTTTAATTTTAGATAAGGGAAATACATTTTACAAAAAGTAGTTTGGAAAAAGCTTTACTTTTTTTAGCTTTGATTATAAAATATATGAAATGTTTCCTTTAGAAAACTGACGTTGAGAAAGAAAAGGAGTCATGTCTAATTCTAAATGGCATCCTCTCAGACATCGATTTTAGCCGTTAATCTTGCTTGTTATATTCAACAAGGAATATTTAGACACTTTAAGAAAAGTTTTATTTTATTTTATTGTTTTGGACCTTGTGAGAATCTGATGAGAAAATTGATACCATTCCTATATCTGTATGTTAAATATGAGTCTGCAGCAAGGGTGTGGTTAAGGGGGGCCAGGGGCCTGGGGGGTACTGCCCCTGGCCATCAAAATTTCAATGTCCCCCCTGCTGCCTCCCCAAAAAAGAGGTCAGCAGTGAGGTTCTGGAAGTAAAAAATCCCATTAATATTCTCCAAAAGGGCTTTTAATTATGAGCCACATAATTATGTCGACCATCAAAACCATATTTACTATAAGCTATCACGTTATGAATTGATAGTATGCGTGTGACATCAATCATTTTATTCACAGTGCTACAGAAAACAACTACTCTACCTAATCCTGAAATAAAACAGTGACCTCTCTAATTGGTTATGTTGGCTGGTTGCTTTTGTGAAACTCCAGAAACCGCCCGAGCGGTGACTCGAGTCAGGCTCGAAGTGCAATACCACATCCATAACTGAGCTATATTTTAGTACACATAGGGGGCACTGCGTTACTGTACACACACAAACACAAAAAAAAATCCAAAGATATTACAACACAGTATTATCATTAACCATAAAAAACACTGATGATAAAAAGGATTCAATCAGAGAAGGGTGGAAGTCGTTCGCTTTGGACTCTGTTTGCAATTCATTATGTGACGAACAGTTCTTTCACCAATAAAAGTAACTACAAATGCTGTCTTGTACTTTTTGTTTTTAAAAAATTTCCATTATTTTATTTATTGACTTTTTTCCCCCAAATCAAATATTTTTCTACTCATGATTCACCCCACAGCTGGTTAGCTTGGTTCAAGGCTACAAACTCTTCATATAAAAGATTTTCTGAAACGTCAGTAGAAAAAAAATGAATGAATAATTCTTTAACTAGTGGACGTCAATTTGAGCTCTACTGTACTGTAATATTAATGCAATCATGGGTGGAAATGAGAGGGAGGGGGTCTAGCTCTCCTTATACCTCATTGTAAAGTCCATTACTCCATTACATTTTTTTAGTGTATGCTGGTTCTTGTACTGGTTCCTGTAGCCAGAAGAAGGTTAACTAGCTTAGCAATGAGCAACAGCTAGCCTAGCTAGTCTGAGCTAAGAAAACCCACCTTACAAAATCTCTAAGTTAATAAATGTTAACAGGAAATATGTATTAGTGAGCTTTAAGTTTTGATATGTATTTTAATATTTCTTTAGAAGGAACCAAGATAACTGTTTTCCCTCAGTTTTACGCGTACATGCTAACCTAAGCTAATCACCTAAAAAAAATCAACTATACTAAAGCAGAGCCATTATGAAATTATGTGGTAATACTCCTCCAAAATAAACAAACAAATAAACAAAAAAGAGACTTTTCTGTTTTCTCTTTTTTCTATTGAGCCCTGTTTCAGGATTTTGTGCATGTGTATCACAAAGGTTACAGCATTTCTAATATAGCTCGGCCCCAGACTGGAACTAATAATAAAAAGCGTATTATCCCCTTTGTATTCATCCAGCTGCAGTGAGCTCTCTCAACAAGGCTCCACCACCACAGGAAGAGAAAATGTGACACATTAGAGATTAAGCTCATTTTTCCAAACCCATAAATAATGCAGATATTAAGAGTTGTAGAGTTCACAACCTGTTCAACACACTGGGAGGCGAAAAAGAAAAAAAAGATTACTCCATGTTCACCAGTAGAACACAAAACAATTAAATTGCAGCCTGCACTGGCATTGATGTATTGAACTTGAGGAAT